AGGGCAGCAGCGGCAGGCCAGAAGGCAGAAAGAAGGCAGCAGCAGGAAGCAGCAGGCAGCGCAGGCAGCAGCAGGCAAGCAGCAGGCAGCAGCAGACACCAGCAGAGGCAGCAGCAGGCAGCACAAGCAGCAGCAGGCAGCGGCAGGCAGCGGCAAAGTTTTTACAATTTTATTATAGTAGTGTTCAGAAGTGACGTTCTTAGGCCCTTTTTTGGGGTCTTTGCTACGTTTTTGGGCACGGCAAAGTACATGGTGTTTTGGTGTGTTTCGGATGTGTTTCGAAAAGGGTGTCTGGACTGTTTTTTCTTGATTTGGAGCCTGTTTTTTGATTTGCAGCAGCCACCACAGCTAGCAGCAGCCACCAGCGCAGCACAAGCAGCAGGGAAGCAGCAAGGACCGCAGGCAGGCAGCAGCAGGCAGCAGCAGACACCAGCAGAGGCAGCAGCAGGCAGCAGCAAGGCAGCGGCAGGCAGCGCCAAAAGATTGACAATTTAAGTGGGTTTCAGGAGGGACGCTTTTTGGGGTTCCTGTGATCCGGTTTTGAGGGCTGTTGATTGCAGCAGCACCACAAGCAGCACCACAGCAGCACCACAGCAGCAGCAGCAGCAGCAGCCAGCAGCAAGCAGCAGCACCAGCAGCAGGCAGCAGCAGGGAGCAGCAGGCAGGCAGCCGCAGGCAGCCGCAGGCAGCTGCAGGCAGCAGCAGGCAGCAGCAGGCAGCAGCAGACACCAGCAGAGGCAGCAGCAGGCAGCAGCAGACACCAGCAGACACCAGCACACACCAGCAGAGGCAGCAGCAGGCAGCAGCAAGCAGCAGCAGGCAGCGGCAGGCAGCGGCAAAGTTGCAATTTTATAGTTGGGTTTCAGAAGTGACGTTAGGCCCTTTTTTGGGGTTCCTTTGCTACGTTTTGGGCACGACATTAGGTGGTGTTTTGCTGTTTCGGATATGTTTCGAAAAGGGTGTCTGGCTGTTTGTTTCTTGCTTTGGAGGCTGTTTGATTGCAGCAGCACCACAGCAGCAGCAGCAGCCACCAGCAGCAGCACCAGCAGCAGGCAGCAGCAAGGAGCAGCAGGCAGGCAGCAGCAGGCAGCAGCAGGTAGCAGCAGGCAGCACCAGGCAGCAGCAGGCAGCAGCAGGCAGCAGCAGACACCAGCAGAGGCAGTAGCAGGCAGCGGCAGGCAGCGGCAGGCAGCGGCAGGCAGCGGCAGGCAGCGGCAAAGTTGCAATTTTAAGTAGGGTTTCAGAAGTGACGTTAGGCCCTTTTTTGGGGTTCCTTTGCTACGTTTTGGGTACGAAATTAGGTGGTGTTTTGCTGTTTCGGATGTGTTTCGAAAAGGGTGTCTGGCTGTTTGTTTCTTGCTTTGGAGGCTGTTTGATTGCAGCAGCACCACAGCAGCACCACAGTAGCAGCAGCAGCAGCCACCAGCAGCAGCACCAGCAGCAGGCAGCAGCAGGGAGCAGCAGGCAAGCAGCTGCAGGCAAGCAGCTGCAGGCAGCCGCAGGCAGCCGCAGGCAGCTGCAGGCAGCAGCAGGCAGCAGCAGGCAGCAGCAAGCAGCAGCAGGCAGCGGCAGGCAGCGGCAAAGTTGCAATTTTATAGTAGGGTTTCAGAAGTGACGTTAGGCCCTTTTTTGGGGTTCCTTTGCTACGTTTGGGACACGAATGAGGGTGGTGTTTTGACTTTGTTTTCGGATGTGTTTCGAAAAGGGTGTCTGGCTTGTTTGTTTCTTGCTTTGGAGGCTGTTTGATTTGCCGCAGCCAGCAGAGGCAGCAGCAGGCAGCGGCACAGCAGACACCAGCAGAGGCAGCAGCAGGCAGCAGCAAGCAGCAGCAGGCAGCGGCAGGCAGCGGCAGGCAGCAGCAGGCAGCAGCAGACACCAGCAGAGGCAATAACGCGGCATACTGACCATTTTGAAAACAGTAGAGTCGGAAAATTGGCACTAGCAAACTGTCGGGTGGACCAATCCTGTAACTGTCTCGTGGTACATTCAAGTCAGTTGTACTTGCATCATGAACATATACATCAGCATTCACACTCTTGTAGCTGGTGCCCAGAAGAAAAAATATTGCGGCCGCAAGGTGGCTTTGCAAGTCGAAAGTCTGTGCTTCTGCCTCGTCCGGCTTTGGCTCCAATTTTAGCTGTCTTTGGCATGATCTGCATAGTTGATGTCGTGCTTTCTGCGATGCCATCACAGAAGGTCCCATAGAAAGGTATCCATGAAAAAGCAAATTCAATAGCAATGCTTCAAGCCAGGGGATATCAAAACTAGAACCGCAAAGGCGCCATGCCAGCTTGGCAAATACTGCTTCTGCTCTTCGATCTACGTCTTTTTCTGTTCTGTCTATGTTGGCGCTTGTCCTCGTGCTGTCCGTCTCTACGGTTGGTTCAGTTTCACGCACAGTGGTTTGGCGCAACAGACTATCAAAATGATATCCCCTGCCTTGCACAGAGGTGTGATTGTATATATGCAGCTGTAAGGCATGATGCTCGGGGTGCTCGAACCCAAGATGGACAAGAATCTTGTTCCGATCTGGGTCTGCCGTGCACTCACCAAATCGGTCGTGCACACGAATTATCATGTTAGCGCGCGCAACAGCCCGAAATCGTTGCAACAGAAATGTCACAATGTGCGGGCCATCGCGGTGCGCATCTAAGTATGGAAAGAATCCCTTCGCGCTTGGAAGTACTCCTTGCCCAACCGCTTGAACCAAATGCTTTCTGCATGCAACTGCACTGCGTCGTCTTGCTGCAACATCTGCGCCCAAGTTGCTTGGCAAAAGACCTTCATACGCTAAGCACAGCATCAAGGAATCGATTAGGCAATTGTTGACGCCGTGTGACAGCGCCTGCTGCCACCTGAACCCTTCAGCTGCCAAAGCCTTTAAAGCTTGGGTATCAGTCATGCTTCGGCCAGGAGCATTTACCTGCGCGATGTCACACAGACGGTCCGCAACTGCAACGCAGTGAGCCTCTGTCGTGCTTGTTTGCAATTCTTTCCAGCCATCCCAAGTGGGCACCCAACTCTGCCCAAGTACTTTTGCTGCGTCCTCTGCTGTTCCAAGTCTAGATAACAAGATTGCTGCGCTTCAAGGTGCGATACATTTCATTGCGTTACATTGCAATGCATTGCATTGCATTACATTGCATTGCATAACATTACATTGCCTTACATTGCGTTGCATTACACTTCATTGCATTGCTTTGCATTATTACCTTTCGTTGCTCTTCATTGCAATGCAGGGCATTGCATTGCATTACATTGCATGGCATTACATTGCATTACATGGCATTGCATTACATTTCACTGCATTGCATTGCATTGCATTACATTTCATTGCTTTTCATTGCAATGCATTGCATTGCATTACATTGCTTGGCATTACATTGCATTACATTGCATTCAATTGCATTACATTGCATTCCATTACATTGCATTGCAGTACATTGCATTGCATTACATTGCATTGCATTGCATTGCATTACATTGCCTTACATTGCATTGCATTGCAGTACATTGCATGGCATTACATTGCATTGCATTGCATTTCATTGCATTGCATTACATTGCATTGCAGTGCAGTACATTGCATTGCACTACATTACATTGCATTGCATTGCATTACATTGCATTCCATTACATTGCATTGCATTGCAGTACATTGCATTGCATTACCTTGCATTGCATTGCATTGCCTTGCATTGCATTGCAGTGCATTGCATTGCATTGAATTGCAGGCTTTCATTTATAGTTTCTTTAGGTCAATTTATGATTTCTTTAGGGTTCATTTTGTGTTTCATGTAGGGGTTTCTGGCAGCAATTCATTCGGGTTTCTTTCGGTTTCACAGTTTCACCTACGGTGTTTAAACTTTCATTTAAGATACAAACAGGAAAGAATAAAACAAAAAAAGTAGGATTTCAATTTCATGTAGGAATTCTCTTGATATTTACATCTCTTAAGGGTTTTATTTCGAGTTTCTTTTGCGTTTCTGTCGGGTTTCATGTAGGGTTTCATTTAGGGATTCTTTCCGATTTCCTTTCGCGTTTAATCTCGAGTGTTATGTGAATTTCTTATCAGAAAATCTTGTCAAGGTTTTCAAACATTCATGTGGGTTTCTTGAGAGTTTCTTTAGAGTTTCATTTCAGATTTCGTTCATGAGGGGTCAAAAAAACACGGGGGAAGTCAAACAAACAAGGTGGGGGATCAAAAAAAACAACGCCCTCGTATACTTTCATAAAATATCATGCACCTGTGCGGCGCAACCATGCACCTGTGCGGCGCAACATTAGCTGTATAATAATAGGGCCAAAAATATTGTGTATATATATATATATAACTATTATACTGTTACTTAGATCCATGAACCCATAAAACCATAAGATCAGAGTATTAATAACATGCACTCAAATGAAAAACCCATTTACACATGAAAATTCAAACCTATCAAATATATTTCACAAGGATGTACATAGCAAAAAGGTCGAGAACCTCAAGGTGCAACGCACCGAAGCGTTTTTCTGCCAGCTTTGCTTCCTTGCCACTTCTTCCGGGGTCGGCGGCAGGGGCGGCAGCCCTTAAATAACATGTGGACCTTGCTGTGAAGTTTGTCAAATACTAGCAATTATTCGAACCAAGTTTGCCCCACAATTCTAGTCGAGAAGTGGTTTTTTGGTTGTAAGGACAAACTCATTTAAGTTAAAAACCAAATTCAATGTTCTTTAAGAACCTGAAATGTTCCGCCATCCATTTCACTCCTGCTGTTTCTCTTCTCAAAGTAACTCGAGGGGAACTCTGCTCAAAGGAATATACATCCAAAACTCAAAAAGACACAGCTGAAATTACTTCTGACCTCCAAACATGAAAAACGTGTTGACAGCTCGCAACGTTGCATTTAACGGAGGTGGGAACATGCCGCCAACATGACTTCATGCAACCTGATTCCATGAATCACAGCCAGAGATTTATCTCCTGGAATACCCACAAACAAAACACGCCCTCTCCGCCTCCAAGGCGTAAGCAATTTCATTGCCTGAACCGCCACGAAGGACAGTCCATTGGTGGGCGCCGGCGGACGAGAACTTCATGACCATGACGTCGTTGCCGCCGGCGTTGCTTTGGCTGTCGAGGTCAGTGCTGTCAGAGTACCCACCGACAAGAATTGCATCTGAGCTGTCCACCTGTGCCAGCTTCCATGGTCTGGGCAGAAGGTCAAAGCAACATATGTGGACCTACTTGTGAACTTGACGCCGGGGGTGCTCTGGTCAGGATTTGCACAATGGCGAGAAGGGAAGGCGGCAAAATGGAAAAGGTTGTCAAATGGGCGCACAAACTTGACGGGGACAGAGCTGAAGAAACAAAACAATAAGCACTCTCAAGAAAACACATAGCTGTGCAAATGATTGTCCGGATGTGCGGTTGTGTGCAAACACAGATTAATTAGTCGGAGAAACTGATTTGCGAAAAATCCATCGTTGTGTGTAAACTGTTCGCTAAATGCCGAATTGCCAAAAAAAGTTGGTCGGTGAAGAGAACTGAGCTGTTGAAAACGATTGAGCCGCGTCGTGCAGACCGTGTTTGGTGTAAGCACTGCTCCGTATTCATGTGGTTTTGTGATCCTCGCAACTACTAGCCAGGGACTGTAGGGTGACCATTGTAGACCCCAAAAAGTGAGGTCTAACATGTAAAAACCTATGTCCAAACCCAAAATCTACCTGACCATGATAGACCACCCCCTAGGGTTCCATTTGCAAGGTCTAAAATGAAAAAACCGAAAGGTAACTTGGCTTAACATGAAGACGGTTTTTTAATTTTAGACCCTTGCCATGTCTGATACCCATGTTACATCATGTTCCATCACGTTCCATATGTTCCCATCAGTTTCCTTGGCTTTCCAGCATGTTCCATGCCAATCATGCCAAAACCCACCCCAGCTGCCAAACCAGTTGGTTTGTTTTTCTCCCGGTTTTTGCTGCACGTTGTGTCATCCATCTTCAGCGACCAAAGCCGACAGCGTACACAAAGCTGCCAAGGCCTACGCACCCCAAACAAGATCCCACATGGCCAGATTTAGGCCACAACATCTTGCCAAAATCTAATAAAATCTAATTAGTCAGAATCCTCCTCGGAGTCTTCCGCGCCATCCTCCTCATCAAAGAGGTCACCATTGTCGTAGATGTCTGTTTCTTCATCACCTTGATCTTCATCATCGTCTTCTGCTTCTCCATCCTTCGTGCCAACCTTCTTGAATGCTGTCTTGGATCCTTTCGTGGCTGCTACCTCAGTGACATCCGCTCTCCACACCAGTTCTTGGAGTTTCTTGAAGCGGTAGGACTCAGACATCTCCTTCTCGATGCTAGTCAGCCATCCATGTACTTTGGCACCGTATTCCACTTTTTTGCGGATCTGGACGTAGTACTGCTCAACCACATGGGGCACCTTGAACATGAACTCCTCGTATCCAATTTTCCCCTCAGTGCCATTGAATTTCCAGCTGATCACTTTGGAGTCAATGTCTAACATTGACTTGGCCGGGAACTGCTTGGCTTGCATTGACAACAGTTTGGTCGCTTCTTGAACTATCAACTTGCGGCCCTTGATGGTTCTGCGGTAGTTGTCAATCACTGGAAGAATGTATCTCGCACTCCTCGTCGCTTTGGCCTTGGCTTTGGCCTTGGCCTTTGCGTCCAAGGCATCTGCGGCCACGTCACCCATGGAATTCAAAGCTTGTCTGCTGGCCTGCCAATGGTGAGAAACAAAAAAAATGTCACCCACAAATAAAAAGCAACATTGTCTTTTTGAAGGCTCCTGGGTTCAAATCATGGTCTAAGATGGTATTCTGAAACGGTATCTTGGTGGGATTCATGGTTTGTGCTGCCAGGTTCCAATTTTAGACCCCAAAGTTCCCACAAAATGATTCAAAACGTTGATGCCATTTTTGTGGTGCCCTGGCTATTGGGAGGGTCTAAAACGGTTTTCTCCAACCCTTTGCACTTTAAAAACCTGGTGATGGCATGTGAGGTTTCATTGTAGACCCCATCTTCTGACCCAGAACTGCATCCATTTATAAACCCAACATTGTCTTCTTGAAGGCTCCTGGGTTCAACCCATGGTCTAAGATGGTATTCTGGAACGGTATTTTGGTGGGATTCATGGTTTGCGCTGCCAGGTTCAAATGTTAGACCCCTAAGTTCCCACAAAATGATTCAAAACATTGATGCCCTTTTTGTGGTACCCTGGATTCATTGGAAGGGTCTAAAACGGTTTTCTCCAACCCTTTGCACTTTAAAAACCTGGTGATGGCATGTGAGGTTTCATTGTAGACCCCATCTTCTGACCCAGAACTGCATCCATTTATAAACCCAACATTGTCTTCTTGAAGGCTCCTGGGTTCAACCCAGGGTCTAAGATGGTATTCTGAAATGATATCTTGGTGGGATTCATGGTTTGCGCTGCCAGGTTCAAATGTTAGACCCCTAAGTTCCCACAAAATGATTCAAAACATTGATGCCCTTTTTGTGGTACCCTGGCTTCATTGGGAGGGTCTAAAACGGTTTTCTCCAACCCTTTGCACTTTAAAAACCTGGTGATGGCATGTGAGGTTTCATTGTAGACCCCATCTTCTGACCCAGAACTGCATCCATTTATAAACCCAACATTGTCTTCTTGAAGGCTCCTGGGTTCAACCCATGGTTTAAGATGGTATTCTGAAATGATATCTTGGTGGGATTCATGGTTTGCGCTGCCAGGTTCAAATGTTAGACCCCTAAGTTCCCACAAAATGATTCAAAACATTGATGCCCTTTTTGTGGTACCCTGGATTCATTGGAAGGGTCTAAAACGGTTTTCTCCAACCCTTTGCACTTTAAAAACCTGGTGATGGCATGTGAGGTTTCATTGTAGACCCTATCTTCTGACCCAAAATTGCATCCATTTATAAACCCAACATTGTCTTCTTGAAGGCTCCTGGGTTCAACCCAGGGTCTAAGATGGTATTCTGAAATGATATCTTGGTGGGATTCATGGTTTGTGCTGCCAGGTTCAAATGTTAGACCCCTAAGTTCCTAAGTTCCTAGTCTTTTCAAACAAATCATTGCGCCTCATGCAGCTTCACCCGTGCTCCATCACATCCAGACATCCGGTCTCCCAAGAGCTTCACCCCAACTGCATCGTACTTCACCACGAGGCATGGGCTGGTGCTGGAGCAACGGTAGACGTTCTCAGAGCCATCTTCCAAGCTCAAGCCTGTCCCACTGACCCCACCAAAAGCTTCTACATCATGTATGTACAATTATGTACGCCTAACATTCTTGAGAAACAACAAAACAGGTGAAACTCAAAAATCCAATTGCGTTTGTACAAATGTGCTTCTCAAACACTTCAAAAATATTCACTATGGCATGACACATGCTGATAACAATGAACCAGGGCACACACCACACGAGCAGCAGCCAGGCTTCCACGTGAAAGGCCGCGCGGGCACAACTGCGCATTTCCAGAACCAGATTTGAAGCTGCGCCAAATGCTCAGCACGAAAGCTGGCACCCACTGCTTTGACACCAAAGCAGCCACCACATCCCCTCTCTCAATTGAGGCATTTGGTGGCAGTGAAGGCCACTGGTCCAGCCGGATCTGTTCAACATGCTTGATCCAGGCCTGCTGGCGTCCCTGCCGCGCTTGACCAGCTTTGGAATCTCCATCCAAAAGGGAGACCTGGTGTTGAACGACGTTTTGCCATTTCTGCGGCTGATTCAGAACACGCTGCCGGCTCAACATGGGCTTTGGCAGGATCTCTGAGTCGCTCCCCTGCTTGCCACTCCGAAGGAAGAAAAGGAGGCGCCAGAGATCTGGCAGTGCAGCTTCCAGATTCTCATGACCATGCAAAGCCTCACCCAGGCTGGTCTTCACTGCATCAGGCTGAAATACTGCATGGATCCTTTCATCTGCAGATGTGACTGTGGGCTCAATCACTGCATGGGTCGCTTCTGCCACCTTTGGATCCTCATTCTTCTTCCCCTCAGCAGGCTTCACCTGCACTGCTTCAGGATCCATCTGGCACTGGTGGCTATTCTTGATTCGCTCGAAGACCTTCTCGACATCTGCTTCTGGTGGCTCATCCTCACCTTCAAGCAGCTGCTGGCATTGGTTTTTAAATCTGTGAGTTCCCGTGAGGCAGTGTTGAAAATTGACCTATCCAAACCAGAAGTGCCAAGTTGATAATTGTTTTGAGTCCAGAAAACATCAGAAAACCACTGTGTCCTGCATCCAAATAAAACACTGTACATGACCAACACACTATGACCATGCAATACCATGAAAACTGCATCTGCTGAAAACAACTAACATTGCCTTCCTGAAGGCTCCTGGGTGCAACCCAGGGTCTAAGATGGTATTCTGAAACGGTATCTTGGTGGGATTCATGGTTTGTGCTGCCAGGTTCCAATTTTAGACCCCTAGATACCCACAAAATGATTCAAAACATTGATGCCCTTTTTGTGGTACCATGGATTCATTGGAAGGGTCTAAAACGGTTTTCTCCAACCCTTTGCACTTTAAAAACCTGGTGATGGCATGTGAGGTTTCATTGTAGACCCTATCTTCTGACCCAAAATTGCATCCATTTATAAACCCAACATTGTCTTCTTGAAGGCTCCTGGGTTCAACCCAGGGTCTAAGATGGTATTCTGAAATGATATCTTGGTGGGATTCATGGTTTGTGCTGCCAGGTTCAAATGTTAGACCCCTAAGTTCCCACAAAATGATTCAAAACATTGATGCCCTTTTTGTGGTACCCTGGCTTCATTGGGAGGGTCTAAAACGGTTTTCTCCAACCCTTTGCACTTTAAAAACCTGGTGATGGCATGTGAGGTTTCATTGTAGACCCCATCTTCTGACCCAGAACTGCATCCATTTATAAACCCAACATTGTCTTCTTTCCTGAACCCATAGATGATCTTGGTGGGATTCATGGTTTGTGCTGCCAGGTTCAAATGTTAGACCCCTAAGTTCCCACAAAATGATTCAAAACATTGATGCCCTTTTTGTGGTACCCTGGCTTCATTGGGAGGGTCTAAAACGGTTTTCTCCAACCCTTTGCACTTTAAAAACCTGGTGATGGCATGTGAGGTTTCATTGTAGACCCCATCTTCTGACCCAGAACTGCATATGGTCATAACAAGTAAACAAGTCACATGAACATACATGATCATACATGCCCATAGTGGCACACCATCAACACAAGACTGCGGCCTTCGTTCTCAGATTCTTCTCCGGAGTCATCATCAGCAGGCCCATCATTGCCACGATAAATGTTGAAGGCTGCTTGAAGATCCTTACGGCTCTTCTGTGAGCACATAGCGCTCAATTTGAGAGCTGCTTGAAATGCCCTCGAAGCCACTGAGCAGAATGTGTTCTGAGTCATCTCCTCAAGTGGCAGGACTTGGCTGGGACGTTCGTTGTCTTGCCATTTCTTGAGCTCCCGCTGCATGCAATGAAGGCTGGATCTGAAGTAATCACCTGCGCTCATTGAAGCATTGGCATAGTAGCTCCTGAGTCGTCCGAACCTTTGCTCCAGAATCCGCTCGGTGAGGCGTTGGAAGCACACTGGGGACTTTCCTGATGCCCAACAGATTGTGATGACACTGCAGGCAATCTGCTTCATGTTCTTCGCAGGCCTCGAATCGATCCACACATCACGCAGCTTGCAGCCTGTGCTCGTTGCGCGCTCCCGAGCCATGAGCTCACCAAATTGCAGCAAAAGGAGACCTAGGCCCAGCTTGCAGTGACAAACAAAAAACCCTCATTGCAGGTTGCAGATCCCTGTCTTGGGCAACAAACAACATAAAATCACCACATGTCTAGGACAAACCTGCACCATTGTTCAAAGTAGTGGTAAGCCAGTGCAAGCCTTAACAAACAATAGCTCAAAACCTGAGATGAAGACCTCCAAAGTAAAGAAGCAGCATGACAACATAATCATCCATCACCTGTATGAGACCGATGGGTCTAAAGTGATGTTGAGTAAGGTTCCACGAACAAAATCCATCGCTGAAGGTCACTACAACCAATCTAGATCTTTTTACTGGCCCAAACACCTCCAAAGTAGAGGCGTATCACCCCACAATATGGGGTCTAACATGGATTTGGAGTGCGCATCTTTAACCAAAACAATCGTTCAAGGTGGTGACAAACCATCTTAGACCCCAATCACTGGCCAAAACCCTTGGGTGAAGACCCCCCAACATCAAGACACATAACCATAGATTATCCATATGATGGGTCTAAAGTGGTCTTGGGTAAGGTTTCACGAAACAAATCCATCGTTGAAGGTCACTACAAACCAATCTAGATCCCTTTTACTGGCCCAAACACCTCCAAAGTAAAAACATATCACCCCACCATATGGGGTCTAACATGGATTTGGGCTGCATATCATGAACCAAAACCATCGTTCAAGGTGGGGACAAACCATCTTGGACCCCAATCACTGGCCAAAACCCTTGGGTGAAGACCCCCGACATCAAGACACATAACCATAGATTATCCATATGATGGGTCTAAAGTGGTCTTGGGTAAGGTTTCACGAAACAAATCCATCGTTGAAGGTCACTACAAACCAATCTAGATCCCTTTTACTGGCCCAAACACCTCCAAAGTAAAGACATATCACCCCACCATATGGGGTCTAACATGGATTTGGGCTGCACACCATGAACCAAAACCATCGTTCAAGGTGGGGACAAACCATTTTGGACCCCAATCACTGGCCAAAACCCTTGGGTGAAGACCCCCCAACATCAAGACACATAACCATAGATTATCCATATGATGGGTCTAAAGTGGTCTTGGGTAAGGTTTCACGAAACAAATCCATCGTTGAAGGTCTCTACAAACCAATCTAGATCCCTTTTACTGGCCCAAACACCTCCAAAGGAAAGACATATCACCCCACCATATGGGGTCTAACATGGATTTGGGCTGCATATCATGAACCAAAACCATCGTTCAAGGTGGTGACAAACCCTCTTAGACCCCAATCACTGGCCAAAACCCTTTCACACAAGGCACCGGTCATGGCAGTTTCCAGGCGCAACTTCACATCGAGTCCTCCGTGTAGCAAAGATGCTTGGATGTGGCCTCCCACCAATGCCATCAGGAATGCCCCTTGAAGGCACCATGGCACCTGAAGCTTGCTTTTGCACGGATCGATCACAAAGTTCGCTGGTGAGAGCCTGGGCTGCAAGGGTTGCGCAGTATTAAGTTGACATCATGGAACCTCTGCATCGTTTTTTATCCCATGTTTTTGATTATAAATATCCATTCATCATTCTTGATCTCAAGATTTAATGGCATGTTGGGTAGCTATATTATGCTACATTCATCTATATTCCATATTCAGCTGTCCTGGTGAGTAATTTATCCTTTCCAAATTCACTTCTCCATTGACCACTGGTACATGTGGCACCCTATCAAAGGAGCTGCATGGTGCTCATCAAGAAATGGGAATGTCTCAAAATAGGAATGCCCCAAGCTCACTCTTTTAAGTGAAAAAAAAAAGGTTTTGGGGCATTCAGTCATGGCTCCCCTATTCTGAGACATTACCAAATGGAACACAGAAACCCAAAAGATTTTGAAACGCCAAGGTACCACAGTGCAGATTGTTTATCCGACATTGTGTCGGTGCCAGCGTATGCTGTGGGGAAAAGTCCGAGTTCTAAAGCTGCGCTTTGGTCGCACCATTGGGTACCGAAGTGCGCTGTGCCTATGCACGAGCGAACCTACGTTGCGCACCCTTTTCCTTTGCTGACTGCCGAAGGCTAGTGTAGTGTTCCATCGGCCTTTGGACAACGGATTAACCGTCCCCCGTGCCTCACCTTTTCTCACTGCTGGGTCCGCGTCTGCACGCAGTGGAGAACATGGAGTAGGTGGGCCGGACATACATCCAAAACGCCTCCCGGCACAGGCTGACCATCGGAGTATGCCACTCTGGCCGATATAGGAAAGCAAGTGAGTGGTAAATCTTCAAACTTGAGGTCGCGGAAGTACGGGACCAACCTCTTGAGGTCATCGGCCAAGGGTACTTCGAGGCCCAACATCCAGCTGGCAAGGTACTGGTGGCTGCCGTGTGCGTCAGCCATGACAAACTTCACTGACCCGCTATTGCTGAGGAGAGCTCCCAGTCTGCAGAGAACCTCCCAGTTCCCACGCTTGCGAGGGTCAACAGCAGCATTTTCGAACCTCTCATCGCGGCAGGCGGCAGAGCAGCAAGGATATGCTGCCAACTCAAAGGTGGGCGAAGATTTCCGAGTAGGATCCCACAGCACACATGCTTCCATCTCGTTTGCTAGGGTTCGCCCTTTCTTGAGAACAATCTTGTTGACTTTGCCCTCAGGGGTTTTCAACACAGCCTGGCTTTCGTCCTCGAGGTCGAACCCTGCAGGGCGATGGGCCCCGCCCAGCATCACATGGCCCAATGTGGTTGTAGCCAGTTGACTGCAAGCTGCAAGGTAGGTTCGATCAAACGCCAAAATGAGGCGCTTTGGTGGACACTCTGCAGAACGACCAAAAATGCAGGAGATAAGGTGATCATTTTCATGGACCCTGGAATCAGTGGGGACTGTGTGCACTGGTAACCCCAAGGATTCGATTTTTGCTAGACATCCCCTCCATTCATTCCTGTGTATCCACTGCAACCCGAAATACTCTAAAGCTTGGTGGTTCGCTCCACATGCAGCGAGCTCTGCACCAGCTTGTACGAGTAGTTGTCTTTCGCTGTCATCTCCTGAGCAACCACCCGGTCGAGAAATGGTTCTAGCATGGTCAGCTACCATAGATTATCCATATGATGGGTCTAAAGTGGTCTTGGGTAAGGTTTCACGAACCAAATCCATCGTTGAAGGTCACTACAAACCAATCTAGATCTCTTTTACTGGCCCAAACACATCCAAAGTAAAGACATATCACCCCACAATATGGGGTCTAACATGGATTTGGGCTGCACACCATTTTTTTTTTCTCCTCGAACAAAACATCGTTTTGCTTCAAGGTGGGAC